AATACTCGAACTTTGTTTTCATTAAGGAAATTTTTGGCAATTTTGGAAGTGTGTGGTCTTGCATTATCTTGTTGAAATCAAGGCCGATCACGATCCACATTTCCTGGATATGTCTCTAATATTGGCAAAACGTACCTACGAAGAATTTCAATATGAGACTTATCTATAGCAGAGCTATTAAGCGCAACGAGAGGACCAGTTCCATACCACGAAAAACAACCCCAATACATCCGACTAGGACTATGTTTGACAGTACTGCTCATATATTCAATGTCCTATTCTTCATATGGTTCATGCCAGACCCGACAAGACGATTGTTGAAAGAGACAAAATGTCAATTCATCTGACCACAAAACATGATGAAAATATTGAGCTATCCAATCTTTATGTGCGAGACACCAGGCAAGTCGTTTTTCAGCATTAATAATGGAAATGAGTGGCTTGGGACATGTAATACGGGACCATAAACCTTTTTTATGTAGTGCATGGTGAACAGTCTTTTTTGATACATTATGTTTTGTTTGAGTAACAAGAGTAGTGGTGACTTGGACGAGATTTAAATGACGATTTTCACTAGTAACGAGAGTCTTGAGAACATATCGATCGGAAGCAGCGAGAAGTGGCAGTCGTCCCGTACGAACAGCTTGAGATTTAACGGTTCCTAATTCACAAAATTTATGAATAACGTTACTCACAACAGACTTTCCACAGCCTACATTAGCTGCAATAGTGCGGTATGAATCATTTTTAAGATAACTATATACAATAGCACCCTTTTGTTTAGCGGTTAAGTCTTTCTCACTTCCCATGATGTGTATCACTAATAAATTAGACGAATTAGACGAATTAGTATATTACACGTTTTGTGATACTGCTGATATATAAATGAGTATCACAAGTATCACGAAAATGGAACGCGTCTTGAATCAAGCAAAACGCATCTTGAATCAAGCAAAATGCATCTTGGTTTGGACAAAATAATACGTATTGGCTTGGACAAGAATTCGATTTAACGAAAAATTTAAAATTTTACATTTTTTTATATTTTTTTTGATTCAGTAATTTAAATCGCTTGAAATTTTATAAGAATATATTTTATGATTTAATAAATCTATTAGCTTAGAATCATAAATCTGGTTTTTTTATTGGTTTTTATGTTATTGTATTTTAAAATGTGTCCACAATATTCTGGGAGGCCACTGTATTATCATTACTATTAGATTTTGTGTATAATTGGTCGACAAAATCTTTGGTTTTACTAGCCAATTAGTATTCGAAAAGTTGTTTCATTTCGTCTAGTAGAACAAAAGAAAATTATGTCAAGATATTTGATTAGTTATATGTTTTTTAATTGTTTTATTAGGAAGAACTTCTTCAACGATGCATATGTTTAGGCTAAAAATAAATATTTTTGTTTTCAATTGGTATTGAAAATATAAAAATTATTAGAGTAGGATTCGACAACAATTAACAAAAAATTAAATTGTCGCTAACATTCCCGATTCAAACATCATTCTCATCCCTCATCCCTATGCTGTTTTTATAAAAGAAATTAAGAAGACCGGAAATAGGAACATATCAAATCACTGGACGATAATACCCAGAAATAAGTTCATTTTTTGAGCTTAAACCATATCGATTAAGTGGTGCTCATTCCTGAAAGAATTTATTCGAGCGTCTTTCATTTTAAACAAAAATCAATTACTTTTTTTAATTTATTATTTTCTGTTTATCGATAATGAATCGAAAAAATTTTTTAACTATTCTTTTCGACATGTGACTTCATCATGTTCATTGTTATCATCGCAGAGGTTTTGATAAGATCTCGGTTATAATACATTGATATTGTGTAACATTCTTTGTCAGAGAAACAAAAACCAGATGTCATACCAAATTTTTCTATACAGAATGTAAACTAGTCACAATTCAGATGTTTAGAGAAATGCATGTTACAATTTCGGTATAGTTTACGGGGACAAAAAAGTTCTCGGAATTTATATATTTTCCTATTGATAGATTTCCAATACATGCATTAAACGAGTACATGTACATGTAATAAATAAAAGTATAGATTTATTACTGCAATTTGAATTATTGTGTTGCATTAGAAAATTACACAACGACGACTCTTTAAAGCAAATGTCAGAAAGCTAATATTTTAAGGTAAACTTTACTTTTAGGATTTTTTCAATATGCTTCATTACATCACATGTAAAATTACGTATACTACATGTCCATGTACATGTACATGTAGATGCTAAGAAACCTAAGTTAAAAATCTTTAGGCGCTGTATTTCTATAAGTATTTGAACACCTATACCTGCATAACGTCATTATAATTCTAAATGTTATTCGCGCCGTACACAGCATACATGCACATGCATACTTACTACCAACAATTGCTTTATAAATCGAATGAATCAAAGAATCTTGATGGGAATGGCCCAAAAGCGAGATCAACATAAGTCCCTAATAAGGAAAATCTAATGACAATAACGACAATGGCTATGTTCGCTATATATAGCATCAAACAACCCACCACCATTTTTATGTTATGTTTTATCGCTGTTTTTTCTACCTATCTTAAAAACAACATACTGCTCACTCGGAAAAAAAATCGTCGCCTCGCTTTTTTTGTAAATAACGAACTGCGCCTTTTTATTTGTTTTCCTTTCCCCCTTGTCATACGATTGGAAAAGATTAATACGGATATCTATGGTAATTACATGTTATTGCGTTACATTATTACATTAATAATCATTCGAAGCTGACAAATAAATATAAACGCGCGCGTGCGCTATTTATCTCTCGGGATAGGATAAGAAACAAAATTTATCACCACCGCCATCGCCACCACTTAAAAATAGAGCATTTTTTCGTTATCAACCTCCACCACAACCGATGACGGCTGAAGATGAAAATGAGCTGTTAAAAAAATTACAAGGTTTGATGTCGTTTGTGATTTAACATTAAATTCTTTAATCTGTATAAATATCGTAAAAGTTATTTAGCAGTGACGCTTTTTAAAATGATATCTTTTTTGCAAAACTCCATCATTACTAATATTAATAATATTGATATGAATAGGATTTCAATATATACCACCAGAAGAGATTGGAAAAAGCATATGTCGTCACTGCTTAAACGATTTAACACATGCTGGGTGGTGTGGGGAGTGCGAACAGCGTGAATTTGCAAGAAATTGGCAGAAATTGGATAGCGGGAATCCTGAAGTGAATTCAATCATCGCGGATACACAATTTAAAACGAAAAACATGTTCACCTTTTTGGAATGGATTTCACCCAAGAAAATATATCGTATTCCCGGAATTGTTGGTACTGGTGGAACTGGTTATGTTACGGCAGGTTTGTGGATCGATGGACCGAGGAAGTCAGTTCAGAAGGATGACAATCCACGGTCTGGACCAATCAACGTAGCGTTGAAAGCTTTTAAGTCTCCGAAATATTTTATTAAAGAGGTAAAAAAAAAATAGATGTTGAAATCTTGAGATTCATTATTTGAATGTATTTAAATCATTTTTTTATTTGTTCTACAGCTTAAAGCAATACAAGAATGGTTACTAAATTTTAATGAGTTTGGGTAAGTGCTATTGATAATTTGAAATTTTTATAATTCTATTGCATTAACCATTTATAATTATATTTTATATTTACAAAGTCGTGAGGATTTCGAACGAGCGTTGAAATACGTTGTACGATGTTATGGAGTCACATTTAATCCAGCAACTTCATCATATGAATTAGTATATCATTTAGTAAAAGACGGGACATTGAGAGAATATTTAGATACAAAATGGACATTATTATCATGGCAAGAGAAACTTCGACTCACAAAAGACCTCGCACTAGCACTCCAACTATTTCACAAACGGAATTTAGTCCACGGTGACTTTCATTCTGCTAACATTCTAATGAATAACAATGTGCCAGTGATCATTGATCTAGCACAATGTTGCTCGGAAGAAACCGCAAAATCCGTACAAAAACTTCCGTTTGGTCTAGTTCCGTACGTAGCGCCCGAAGTCTGGTGTCAAGCACCGTACACGAAAGCCGCCGACGTTTACAGTTTCTCCGTGATCATGTTTGAAATTGCGACCGGGTGTCGTCCGTTTGGTGGGATAGCACACGGGTTAACTCTAAAAAAGGCGGTGGTTCAAGGAAGGCGACCGACTATTGCTTACGGGTCGGGAATCCCGAATTGTTACGTAGATTTGATATATCAGAACTGGAGTCATGATCCTGAGAAACGGTTTACCGTCAATCAGATTCTGATTAATGTTTGTAGATGGTACGGCGCGTTACTGAAGAAAAACGATGCCGACATAATGGAGGATTTCTATAAGGCGGAGAGTCGTAGAGTTAAAATCCTTGCGGAAGATGAACAATCATTGTTACATGTACTTGGTGGGCATCCTCAGGCTACTTATACTAGTAGATTGTTAGACGATAGTACGCTTCGTAAACAGGTTTAGAGGATTTATCAGTAGATTTTAAATTATTCATGTAAATATGTTCAAACAAATAGAATTTAATAATGCTGTTAAGATTCAAATGACTCAATTATTGAGAGGATAAAATATTTTTTTAAAAGTCCATATTTGATTTATAACGCTAACAATTTATCGGTTAGATAATTAATCGCACGAAGTTGTTGAAAGTTCATTTTCGCAATTTATCACGCAATCCATCAACTTATTGTCATTTATTTTGGATTCATTCAAAAATTTGCCATGGGAAAAAGAATATATATAAGTGAGACGGGTGGATATTATAAAAATAAAAATTAACGTTTAATTTAAATAAAAGCGCGAAATTTGAACAATCAAACATGACCAACTTTATCAAAGTCGTCGTTTCTCGTATCTCTGTTTCTTTCGCTTTATTGATGCTAATTTGTGGTGCAAAAGGTAATAAATAGATATAAATGCAACTTTAAATTTTCTGGCTAAAAAATTGGTCATTATTGTAATTAGGTCAGCTTTCTGGTTGCCAAGGAGTAATCAACGTACAAGAACAATCGGACCTTTCTCAATTAGACGGCTGTACTTCATTCACTGGAACGATCGCTATTATAGGAACCAACCTTCGAGCGCTCTCAATT